ATTTTACGAGAGTTATCCTGATATTAAGGGTCAAAAAAGAGGTGCTCGTATTTCAAAGATTTTTTTCGCAATTTTAATGATATAGACCTCGGGATAGCGTCAAAATGTACACAACACTTGTCGCTAATTGATTTTCGGATAGGTTGTCTAAAAAAGTATCATTTCGCTAATGAAAAATAGAGAAAACAATTTATCTTGTTGTAACATCTAATTTATTATTATGTTTTTAATTCTGTAGACCATCTTGCTAAAAATCCATAATACCAATCATTCAGTTTTAATTCATTACCATCTTGATTTCTCGTTTTCTTTCCCAATTGTTTCATGTATGTCTTCGTTAATTCAAGAATATCTGGCTTTGAGACTGGTTGCTGCCATTCTTGATACAGCTTGATTAACTTCACAAGAAACTCTTCTTCAGCAATAGAAAGAATTGTTTGACGTCCTCTTGGCCCCCGATTGTGCGCCAAACGATCATAAATAGTGGAAAGCGGAATATTAAATTGCGTTGATCCGATCTTAACACTAATTTTTTTGTCTTTAATCAAATCAATTAATTTATTTAAACTTTCTTCGGTATATTTTGGCTGTTTTTTACGAACATAGACTCGCGGCATTTTTTATACAGACACAAAGTGAGAAAAGCGTAATATTGTTGGGTCTAATATATGTTACATAACTCACACAGAATAACAACACGCCTGAAGAATGACAATCTTTCTCGTTCATTCTAGTGATGCGCCGAAACAGGTACGTCAGAAACGAAAGAAGGAAAGGGAAATTCTCTAACGGCTATAACAAAAGAAATGCGTAATTTTCCTTTGTTTGCTGTACCAGATTACGAAATAACGTTTCTTTCCTTTCATGGTATTTCGCCCCATCACTAGTTCTTTCCATTTTGAAAAACACGATAACTGTGACACTGAAAAACTAGACTTTTCTTCATTTTCTATAAATATAAAATAAATATATAATCGTTTTTGTAATGCCTTTCTGTTGTATTGTATCTGTGTACTTAGTACTGACCGGAGTGGTCAAAAAACGTTTTAAACTCAGGGAATTGATAAAAAACCGTGATTTTCAAATTTCTTTTAATCTTATTTCCTCCAAGGAAACTTCTTATGAGGTGAAAGGATTTTACAAATACTCTATGAAATTTGTTCGAGTGATTTAGGATAAGTTTCATCTAAGGAACACTTTGAAATTCCTTACGGATCGATAAGGAATTTCAAAATACGGTTCTCAGTTAAATCGGCTTGAATTCTAAATTCATCCTATGCGATACTATGTGATTCTAAGTTCACCCCAAATAGGGTGAACTTGGAATATTTTTCGTCCAATAGCACTTAGAAATCCGGATTCGAATTCTTTCCCTATTAAAATATAATTTTGTAAATGATCTAGCTTATAGAGAAGACTTTGATCTATCTAACCATCTATTTTTTCCAGTTTTAATTAATGTCAAATCAATTAGAACTTGAAAACATCAGTCCCAGCCATTTCTGCTGGAATTCTAAAATTACCCCATGCATGTCTACGTGTTTTACGAATTCACCCTATTCAGGGTGATTTTAGAAAATCGATGGATAGAGAGACAGTCTCTCTCAGTGATCCAGATCCAGATAAGATTTTAGAAAAGTTTTTGGATAGATCGATAGGTCATCATCTGCCAGAGAGATCTGTCGAATCAGTTTTCAAAAATGTTAAAAAATAAAAAAGTTATTAAAAAAGCGAAATTTGCTTCGCGTTTTTATTCCAAATTCACCCTAATCAACTCTATAGAAATGTTTCTCTAATTTATTTGTATCGATAACTTCGATATCGAATTTAAGTTAAGAAAGAAACAAAGATATATTTATTCTTTTGAATAATGTTTGTAACTGCTGTGTATTTTTCCAGAAAAAGTAAAATAGAAAATTAAGCAAAGTTTTTCTTCAAAATCTTGATTAAATTCATTCTGTGTTAAAAATTTTCTCATTAAAAAAGTAAAATGTTTACATGGACTATTACTAAATGCTTGTGTTGTACAAGTATCGTTCATCTTCGATTCACTGACCCTTGACTGAAAATGGATTTTTAGCGATGATTTGGTGTTAGTATGCGCTTAGCTTTTTAAAGGGATTTTAGGGGGAAGGGGGGGAAACAGGAAATTTTTGTTTATTTATGTGTATGTTTATTTATGTGTATGATTGTATTAGATCCAATGATATATGACGTGTTGAAGGACATATTTCCTAGGATTTGATCGTTAACATTAGGAGGCGTTTACTCATTTTATTTAAACAGAACACGGAAAAGTAGAAGAAAAACAGTAACTGAACTGAAAAACATCTAAAGTGAACTCTATAATAAGAATGTTTACTATTTACACTCGAGATTCAAAACGCCTTTTTGTTATTTTATCCAGTTGATCAAGTCTGTCAAGTTCTTCTAGAAGATCTTGATTTGGATTAACCCGCAGGGCCGACAGTGGAAAGGATCGTAAAAGTATTAGATCGTCAAGCTTTTTCACTCTCGATATTGGCACGTAGGCTGCTGCAACTTGTGGTTTACAGCCTGGTGGAAAAACGAGATCCACCACAATTTTTGGAATTGTCTGCCCTTGACTTTTATATGTTGTGATTGAATAGGCTGGCACAAAGGGAAATTGTTTCCTGGTTACTTTCACTTTTGTTTTTACCACATTCTTCCTTCGTTCTCGTTCCGGTAACAGTTCTTTACACTCTACTTGAAATGTTTCTTCAACAAGTGCTATTGGAACTAATTTTTGAGGTAATGTGTCCAGTATGGACGATATGTTTGATTTTTGAATTTCCACCAACGCATACAATGGTCTTCTAACGAACATCGTATCTGGTGGAAAATCACACGTTGTGGGTGCTGTGCTTGCTTCGTTGTTAAGTTCATCTTCATAGACTAATTTTCGGAGTGTTCCGACTGTTCCATTTGAAAGACGTAATTCTGTGGCCAAGTTAGCTGTTAACAGCAACGGCATACCTAGGCGGTCAAGGAAAAGAAACAATGGTAGTCTGGAAATATTTAGCAATAAAAGTTTACCTATGACGAGAAACAGGTAACCAGATAATCCTTTGGTTTTGTTATCGGGCAAGCGCAAAATGTATTCCCGCAATTTTTCGTTAACAACTGAATCAGCATTGAACTTGTCTTGTGCCACACATACGACAGGTGTTTCACCAATTTCACGAGCTTTCGATATAATCGCCAAATTATTCAATTTTGTTCTCAAATCATTACGGAAAACGAGAATTGGGGCCTCTCTCCATTCGATCTCGTCCAATGATTTAACTGGACAGCTTCGGTGATCAATTACGCGTGTTGAAAGTAGCTTATGATCTTTTATTGTGCATTGTCCGTAACGTAATCGATTTTGAACTGCTAAAAATGCAGGATCATCAGTTCGCATTTGTGTCACCAACTGAACTACCGTGTTCAATTGTAACCAAAGTGCACGCCCGACTTCATAATAAGTATCACGTTCGGT